ACACGAGGTGTTGCAGCTTCCCCTATAGACACGGCGACGTCCACGTAGCAAAAAACACGAGGTTTTGCAGCTTCCCCTATAGACACTGCGACATCTACGTAGCAAAAAAACGCGAGGTGTTGCAGCTTCCCCTATAGACACGGCGACGTCCACGTAGCAAAAAGCACGAGGTTTTGCAGCTTCCCCTATAGACACGGCGACGTCCACGTAGCAAAAAGCACGATGTTTTGAAGCTTCCCCTATAGACACGGCGACATCCACGTGAAACAGAGACGAGGTTTTGCCGCTTCCCTCATAGACACGGCGACGTCCACGTAGCAAAAAGCACGATGTTTTGCAGCTTCCCCTATAGACACGGCGACATCTACGTAGCAAAAAACACGAGGTGTTGCAGCTTCCCCTATAGACACTGCGACATCTGTAGCAGAAAACACGAGGTTTTGCAGCTTCCCCTATAGACACTGCAACATCTACGTCGCAAAAAATACGACGTTTTGCAACTTCCGCTATAGACACGGCGACGTCCACGTAGCAAAAAACACGAGGTGTTGCAGCTTCCCCTATAGACACGGCGACGTCCACGTAGCAAAAAGCACGAGGTGTTGCAGCTTCCCCTATAGACACGGCGACGTCCACGTAGCAAAAAGCACGAGGTTTCGCAGCTTCCCGTATAGAGACGGCGACGTCCACGTAGCAAAAAGCACGAGGTTTTGCAACCCCCCTATAGACACGGCGACATCTACGTAGCAAAAAACACGAGGTTTTGCAGCTTCCCCTATAGACACGGCGACGTCCACGTAGCAAAAAGCACGAGGTTTTGCAACTACCCCTATAGACACGGCGACGTCCACGTAGCAAAAAGCACGAAGTTTTGCAGCTTCCCTTATAGACACGGCGACATCTACGTAGCAAAAAACACGATGTTTTGCAGCTGCCCCTATAGACACTGCGACATCTACGTAGCAAAAAGTACGAAGTTTTGCAGCTTCCCGTATAGACACTGCGACATCTACGTAGCAAAAAACACGAGGTGTTGCAGCTTCCCCTATAGACACGGCGACATCCACGTAGCAAAAAACACGAGGTGTTGCAGCTTCCCCTATAGACACGGCAACATCCACGTAGCAAAAGACACGAGGTTTTGCAGCTTCCCCTATAGACACTGCGACATCTACGTAGCAAAAAGTACGAAGTTTTGCAGCTTCCACTATAGACACTGCGACATCTACGTAGCAAAAAACACGAGGTTTTGCAGCTTCCCCTATAGACACGGCGACGTCCACGTAGCAAAAAACACGAGGTTTTGCAGCTTCCCCTATAGACACGGCGACGTCCACGTAGCAAAAAACACGATGTTTTGCAGCTTCCCCTATAGACGCGACGACATCCACGTAGCAAAAGACACGAGGTGTTGCAGCTTCCCCTATAGACACGGCAACATCCACGTAGCAAAAAACACGAGGTTTTGCAGCTTCCCTTATAGACACGACGACATCCACGTAGCAAGAGACACGAGGTGTTGGAGCTTCCCCTATAGACACGGCGACATCCACGTAGCAAAAGACACGAGGTTTTCCAGCTTCCCTTATAGACACGGCAACATCCACGTAGCAAAAAACGCGAGGTTTTGCAGCTTTCCCTATGACACGGCGACTTCCACGTAGCAAAAGACACGAGGTGTTGCAGCTTCCCTTATAGACACGGCAACATCCACGTAGCAAAAGACACGAGGTTTTGCAGCTTCCCCTATTGACACGGCAACATCCACGTAGCAAAAAAACACGAGGTTTTGTAGCTTCCCTTATATACACGGCAACATCCACGTAGCAAAAGACACGAGGTGTTGGAGCTTCCCCTATAGACACGGCGACGTCCACGTAGCAAAAAGCACGAGGTTTTGCAGCTTCCCCTATAGACACGGCGACGTCCACGTAGCAAAAAGCACGAGGTTTTGCAGCTTCCCCTATATATAGACACGGCGACGTCCACGTAGCAAAAAGCACGAGGTTTTGCAGCTTCCCTATAGACACGGCGACATCTACGTAGCAAAAAACACGAGGTTTTCCAGCTTCCCCTATAGACACTGCGACATCTACGTAGCAAAAAGTACGAGGTGTTGCAGCTTCCCCTATAGACACGGCGACGTCCACGTAGCAAAAGACACGAGGTGTTGCAGCTTCCCCTATAGACACGACGACATCCACGTGGCAAAAGACACGAGGTGTTGCAGCTTGCCTTATAGACACGGCAACATCCACGTAGCAAAAGACACGAGGTTTTGCAGCTTCCCCTATGGACACGGCAACATCCACGTAGCAAAAAAACACGAGGTGTTGCAGCTTCCCGTATAGAGACGGCGACGTCCACGTAGCAAAAGACACGAGGTGTTGCAGCTTCCCCTATAGACACGGCGACGTCCACGTAGCAAAAAACACGAGGTTTTGCAGCTTCCCCTATAGACACGGCGACATCCACGTAGCAAAAAGGACGAGGTCTTGCAGCTTCCCTTATAGACACCGAATTAACGACGCGAAAACGACGCGCCGACCAACTGGCGGTGAACAAAGGTTCAGCCCCCAGACCCCCAACTATAAACGGGAACCCTTCGCTACGCATTCGGGAAAAAAATGACCCGAAGCATGACCCCTGAGGTCCTGACAAGTAGAAGAAATCAAAAGACTGAGGAGATCCCATGACCTCAGCAAACTCATCACATCGACAATCGCCCCAAGGACTCCTTATCTTTTGATATCGTTTTCACACTTTTGAGAAGTGGTATAGATGGCCCATTTATATCTATTTAGTTCGATGATTCAGCAACAAATATTTTCTTCGAGTTGCTGACATGGTCAAAATTATCCTGGCATTCTATCTGACTTCTTTCTGGCATTTGCTTTGACATTCTATCTGACATTCTACCTGGTATCTATTCTGACATACTTTCTGGCAAATATTCTGACATTCTTTCTGGCATTGTATCTGGCATCTCTTCAAGCATTCATTCTGGCATTCATTCTGGCATCTATTCTGACATTCTCTCTGCCATTCTTTCTGACATTCTACGCGGCATCTGTTCTAGCATTCTTTCTCGCATTGTGTTTGACATTCTCCCTGGCGTCTGGCTGACGTCCTGCAGTGCCCACTGAAATCTGGAGCTCGCGGTTGGGGTCTGGCAGTGCCCACTGACATCGCGGTTGAGGTCCGGCAGTGCCCACTAAGATCTGGAGCTCGCGGTTGAGGTCCGGCAGTGCCCACTAAGATCTGGAGCTCGCGGTTGAGGTCCGGCAGTGCCTACTGAGATTTGGAGCTCGCGGTTGAGGTCTGGCAGTGCCCACTGACATCTGGAGCTCGCGGTTGAGGTCCGGTATTGCCCACTGAGATCTGGAGCTCGCTGTTGGGAGGAGGAGGGAGGAAGGAAGGAGGAAGGAAGGAGGAAGGAAGGAGGAAGGAAGGAAGGAGGAAGGAAGGAGGAAGGAAGGAGGAAGGAAGGAGGAAGGAAGGAGGAAGGAAGGAGGAAGGAAGGAGGAAGGAAGGAGGAAGGAAGGAGGAGGAAGTAACTCTGATGATGTGATGGTGATGCCATTCATGCCATCCATGCCATCCAGGGCTGCAGCCTCACTCACCTCCAGGATCAGTTCGTCCTGTTTGTACTCAGTCGGAATGTTCCGAATCATTACCTCAGACATGACGGCGAGGCCCTGGTGGGACATCTGGGGCAACTAGCTATGGTAAAGAATGGTAAACATGTGTCAAAAGGCTCAGAATTGGGGACTCCAAGGTTAATACCCCACGGAAAAGATTACGAACATCTGCAGGTTTTGCATGGTTTTGGGGGTACTTAAACTTTTCACCCAAAAATGCATAAACACCGAAAACGATCGCTGCATCCAAGTGGCTGTCGTAAAGGGACCATCAGTTTGGTATTTCTCCTCAGGTCATGCCCAGTACCATTCTGCTGGAAGGTGCTGAAACTTTTTGGGCACCAAACAAAAATAGCCGTTTGATGGTAAACATCATTAAGTGGTGGAGTTGGGATACACCGGGTGTACATGGGTGGGTATACCCCACTCTTGGACAAGCCATGACAATCATCTCTGGCGCCAAGGCACTGCTAAGTTGCTTTCGCGCTGATTGCGTTTGGACTTTGCAGTTTGGGACATACCAACCACAGACCAGCCTCAGACCTCAAGGCACAGCATGTTCAAAGGATTTCAAAGGCGTCTTATGACTATAATGATGGCATATAATGGCCGTGCTTTTTGAATCTTACAAATGGCTGAAATCTGCATAGCTTCAAGCGTCTTAAGGTCAATGATCCAATCTTCTTGCAGGTCAGCAATAGCAATATGTAGCAGCTACGTAGCAGTTGCTCAAATTGAGGGCCGCACCAATAAATTGGCTTTTGGCGGCTTTTGCATCCGCAAAAGAGCTTGGACAGCTACGGTCACGAAATACGACATAGTAACATAGCTGGGCGTGTCTGAAAATGGGGTATACTATACCGTGTACCTCCGAAATAGCCATTTCATTAAGGAAAAATGATGGCTAACCAGTGGATTTAGAGATACTCTATTCAGACAACCCCAAATGTTTGCATCTGTTTTTGCAGCTCTAAACAAAACTGCAGTGCCTTTCCCGTTTACAACTCTCTCATTTTCTCTTCCTTCTTCAGCAAAAGTCGGCTGGCGCGAGACACACCGCATCTTTGGCTGTGGACACATCAGTGAAGAGCAGGGCAAGTGCAACTGCACCTACCGGGCCACTCACCAATACACAACTTGTGCCTGCGAGCTGCCTGAAAGCAAATGAACCCTTGGCACTTGCCACACTTGCAAGTGCAATTTCACAGCCAAACCCTGTACTACAAACTTGCAAACTCGGCGCCCAGTGCAGAACCCAAACCATTCATAAACCTTCAAAAGAAAGGAAGGAACAATCGATGTGGATTCTCGTCTTGGTTATGTCTCTGGTCCGGCAGTGCAGGTGCTGCAGCTTGCGTCTTTTCTCCATCCAGCCCTCATGCACAGCACAGGAAGTGGCTGGGTCCGGAATGACCCAACAGGCGCTTTGAAAAGATCTGAATCCCAGATTCTGGGGAATTCATGGGGAATCTGGGTACTGGTCAACAATTCAGATCAAACCGAGAAATGTTGGTTGGCCAGTTTTTTCAACAGAAGCCAGCACGCCAGAGAAAGCTTTACATAGCTTTGCAGGTTCATCTCTTTGATGGCCAAACGAATTTAGACAGGGAATTCTAGGGATCTATACAAGCAATGTGTCCATCACTGACAGCTGCACCCAAAAGGGCGGCACAGGAAGACACAAGAATCACAGTGGCTATGCTGAGCAGCGCTCCTGCGCTGTGTCTTTTCACAAGTGGTATTGACTCTGCATCCCCGATGTATCTGTAGGCCATGGTGATGACATAGCCCTCCAACATTCCGCACAGTGCATATGAGGAAATGAAGAGGGCTCGTCCGGCTTCACTGGTCCACAGACTTCGCCAAACACCAGCGGTGGCGGCACAAATGACGAAACAGCTCAGGTACTGGAGTAAGCAAAGGATGTAGAAAATGAAGCTTGGACATGTTACCAGGGATGAGATGATACTGCCAAGGGGCACCAAGATTTGAGAAAGCGTGAGAGAGATGCGAAATACAAAGCGCCCGGACTTGCCAGAGCAGGACTCAGCATCGCACATCTCCGCCCCGATTTCTCCGATCGTTGGAACAATACTCCACTGAGTAATTTGTGTCAGAGTTGCCATCACCACAGGCGCAAGGAGCGACCAAGGACAAGCAAAGCTTTGCAAACTCTCTCCAATGAGCTCCCTGATCTTGCCGTGATAACAACCACCATTGTGAGAGTATTCTTTCAGGCTCTCCTGGTTGGAAACAGAGGGAACTGCTGTGGAAACTGCTGAGACAGCCTCGAGATCGGCTTGTGATTCGTGAGCCTTTTCAGGTGCATCATCCAAAACGGATCGGAGACCTATTCTGTACTTGAGGATCACGCACCACGCCAGCAAACCCATAGAACTGATGCCAGTGTAGAAGGCAAAGAGAAGCCACCTCAACACACAGACGCACAAAAAACATCATGAAACAAGATGACATGTGCTGCATTTTCACCTCTGGTGACTTATGGGTTGGGAGTCTCAAGGAATCTAGACAGCAGTGATGCACATTTTGTAACCTTGGCACGTTGGATACCTTTGATCCACCCCATTCGAACTCTGGGCTTCAGCGAGGAAAGCGGAGATCATGCCTGGGAGGACCCAGCAATCAGGACATACCAGTCATTCGCGGTATGGATCAAGAGTCAAAATGAAAAGATGGATACCAAATTTAGGATATTTTAGGATGGCAGTCCCTTTTGTGGCGACCAGAAGCCTTTGGTCATTTAACATAACCATGGAACATGAACTTGACACTCAACATGACCAATTCGTACATTATTTACCATGATTTACCTATTCAACAGAAATTCAACATGGCGATTTATGGCATAGCTGTTCTCGATCAACGGAGAGTTTTTTTCGATCCTGAGGGATCCTGAGGGCCTGACTAGAAAGGTCAGTTCCGGCTCGGACGGGTGCAACAAGCCATCCGCTGTAGTTGGTGGCAATCAGCCTGCGATCACCGCTTCAACGGCTGAGGATGGTTGAGGTATGTCATGTCAATTTAGGGGACACATTTTCATTGCTGCTGGGTGGTTAAACGGTTAAGCTGAAACCATCTGAAACCCAACTCGTCCGCCTCAGGGTGTTTTCTGCATGTTCCATATACCAAATTAATCCAAAGTATGAATCCAAAGTATACCAAGGAGCGGAAACAGGAGCAATATGGAGCCGTTGCCGACGATGTTGCCAAATATACCGCACAGCTGTACAACTTAGCATGAGACTTAACCCGACAACCAATGGCATGTCCAGGCATGAATGCATTCAAAAGAGGCATAACATGGAAAACATGCATCATGAAGTCAACATAAGGTCTCCAAAGCTTTGGATTGTAAAGATAATGGTTCACACACGTTCACACCATGATATCATAGTACAAATATATCTAGAAGTTAATGTATACACCACACTACGAAAAAGGCTGAGGTCCGAAATTTCCATAGGTCGACAAGGCACCTGCTGGTACTTGCCAGGCCACGGATAGCAACAGCAAACTCGCTAAGCTCAGAAGGATTAGGAACGTGCTGCTCCAGCGTTCCACACCTCGAAAAATCTAAAAAATGGGATGCCAATGGAAGGATACCCCCAAAAGTCGCATCCAAAATCCATCCAAAATCCAATGGTTTTTCATGGTTTATCATGGGTTATTATGGTTTATCATGGTTTTCTTATGATTTATCAAGGTTTATTATGGTTTATCATTATTTATCATGTGTTATCATGGATTATTACGGTCTATCATGGTTAATCATGATTGATCCTGTCTTATCATGGTTTATTATGGTTTATCATGGTTTATTGTAGTTTGTCATGGTTTATTATGGTTTATTATGCTTTATCAAGGTTTATCATGGTTTATCATGGCAAATTATGGTTTATCATGGCTTATCATGGTTTATCATGGTTTATAATGTTTTTTCATGGTTCATCATGGTTTGTTATGGTTTATCATGGTTAATCATTGTTTATCATGGTTTATCATGGTTTATCATCGTGGATCATTGTTTATTGTGGTTTATTGTGGTTTATCATGGATTATCATTGTTTTACTATGATTTATTGTGGTTTATCATGGATTATCATTGTTTTACTATGATTTATTATGGTTTATCATGGTTAATCATGGCTTATTATGGTTTATTATAGTTTATGATGGTGTATCATGGTTTATCATGGTCTATTATGGTTTATCATGGTTTATCATTGTTTATGATGATTTATGATGGTTTATGATGGTTAATCATGGTTTATGATGGTTTATTATGGTTTATCATGTTTTACTATGATTTATCATGGTTAATCATGGCTTATTATTATGGTTTATCATGGTTTTTCATGGCTTATCATCATCTTCGCCAACAAACTACTCAGCAGCGAAAAGCATTTTCAAAGCTCTTGAAATCATGACGAACATTGATACGAAGGGATCAACAACTATTGGTGCTGACACGTGATTAATCATCAATAAACTCTCACAGATACAGATAATGATACTGATGTTAACAACATATCAAAATATTGGAAAACCAACTGTTAAACATTGATCGTCAGTCCTGCATTCACAAATTGGCAGTGCGGTCACGCACTGCATGGCTTTTTAATAATAATATATACACATACTTAACCAGATTTTTCTCATCTTTTTTATCTGACCGTCTGAGACCCTGGCGATAGGAGATTTTTCCGAAGAGAAATGGATATCCGCCGAAGAAGGCGCACAAGACTAGACTCGCCACCGCCCCGTTGCGATTGATCTCTCCGATCAGCTGACCTGTCGGGGCAACCACCAAGCTGAGGTCATTTTTTTTGTTGGTTACCCCCTAGTAACCAACATTCCAGTGACGTCAAAGCGACGTCGCAACATAATTAGTAATTCATCTTAGTATAGATTCATGGCTCCCAACATTTTGACCACAAGCGATCCACCAGTTGATGGTCTGTTTCAGAGAAAGCCATGGTTTTGCGGAATCCATATTGGATCCAATTCTTGGATATTCTTGGCCCAAACGGTCAATAGATTGCAACAGCCTCTTCACGCTGCGTCAGTCTGCTGTTTTCTAAACCTCAGCCTTTGAACTCACACATAAATGCAAATATATCACAGGGAACAGCACCTGACAGATCTCTATGGACTCCTTTGGCCGCACACTTGCGCCTCCTTTGGCAATTTTTGGCTCGTTGGCAACAAGATTGTACAAGCCTTGAAACGCAGAGTGGCCAGTGGCCAGTGGCATGGGCAAACAATCATTGAAATCACCAAACATGTCCTCTCCAAACCCCTCGTTCGCCCATGCCCAAGTAGCACACCCAGACAATATTATATACTTGGCACTTGTCACTAGAGATTGTAGGAAGAAACTTGCTAGACGCAGCAATTTTGGCTTTGGGCTTTCAGGATTTAGGCTTTTACGGTCTGGAGTTTTAAGGTTTTAGGGTTTTACAGTAGGGTTTAGGGTCGCAGGGTTTAGGGTTTGTTGTTCTGGAAAGTTAAAAACACACTAGCCCTGCGCAGATGTCAAAGGATATGCGGGATCCGTCAAAGGCAAATGTCTTGAGTCGTTGAGATACATTGAGGCGCGGGCCGTTGACAACGAACCAGCCGCACGATGTGCCAACAGCAAGGAAGGAAAGATAAGTGAACCCAGCACGGCATGTGCTTGTCATGGCTTGAAGCTGTCCGCTGTTTCGCCAACAGAAAGGATCTTCAAACTGCCTCTCTAGCTCTTTGCTTTGAGCCGCCCATGAATTCAATGGGGAACAATAAAAACATGAGGCATCCAGCAGTGGGAGTTCAAGGTCATGAGTGCTGGAAGGTTTCACATGATCCTGAACTACACGAATTGCTCTGCGTCCCACAGGGAGCCTGCCTGGAAAAGATGGGCAGTGGGGGGTAGAGCCTGCGGTGATGCAAAGGAACCATCATCAGCAACGCGGAGGGGTGGCAGTTGATCAAACTATGTTAATGTTACAGGATTTAATGGGATATACTGGGGATTTAGCTGTGTATTTATGGGTATATGATGATATATAATGATATAATATATAATTATAACTTTTAACATGATTTTTGGGTGTGGACCTGAAAATGACCCAATTGTGGCCAGTTCAATAGTGAAAATGATGATAAACCGTACAGATCCATACAGTAGAAGTTTGGGGCACCTTATTTCCGAACAAACCCAACTATCAAACATTGGGTATGGATCGTGGCGCGGTGATCCATACGTGTGAAACGGTTGAATCACCTGCATTGTGGTACGGATCGGGACAGATGGAACGGATGTGGGCCCTGGTGCCTTATCCATGCCTTGGGTTCTAAGACTTACGCCCATTTGGACCCATTTGGTACGGGTGGAAACTCGGGTACCAACAGAGCCACCCATTTTATCATCTTAGAGGTAAACACCATCCATTTTTGCGGTCCAAGGATTCAGCCCCACATGGTCCAAAAACACGAATGAACACCTTGCCGTACGACGCCGTACGCGTTTGAACTTTCAACGAGTGATAACAGGTGAGTGTTTATTTGGGAAGGGTGATCTTCTTTGCATGAGGTTGTTCAAGTCCTGCCATCAATTTGGCATTGCAAATGATGCTGCTTCGTGCCTTATTATCAACAAATCGGGACTGGCTACATGGAACACTTTGAAGAATGCCTTACACATTAAACAGAAAGTTGTTTGCAATGGTCAACCCAGAAAAGGGCTAATATCAGTACCATTTGATGCAACATGATTTGGCAGATGGATTTTTGCAGATGCAAGTGTTTCAAAATGCAGCCGCAAAAGCACCCACGCAGTCTTAGCATGTCCTTCATAGGGGGGGTCCATAAATGGGAGATCTCCAAAATGGTTGGTTTATAATCGAAAATCCATCTATAAATTCTATAAATGGATGATTTAGGGCTACCCCAATGACTTAGGAAACCCAAAATCATGAGTCCAGATTTAGAATCTAAGCCTCATGGATGCACCCAGTATGGCAAGGGCTATGTCTGGTTGGAAACGTGACGGGAAAACATGGGGACCCGCCAACAACTTGACAAACATAACTGGACTATAGACTATAGATATCATAACTGGACTATAGACACTATAGACTCTATAGACTATAGATATCTATAGATCATTGAAGATCAATATTCTTAATCCACACATTTTTCTTGACTCAGATTGACCGTAAAAATCACTCCAAGAATTGGCTTCAGATCAATCCCATCTCCAGCGGCTGGGCAGTCCAAGACGGTAAAACCCTGTGGGTTGATGTGATTTTGCAACAATGATTAACCGATTAACCAAACAGATCAACAACAACATTCAAATCACAGTTTGATTATTCTCTGGTTCTTTGAAAAGTTCTAACAAACAATTGTGCTCTGGTAGATCCAACTGGCACCTTGGCCAAGTCCAAAAGACATCCTCATCGAGCCTCTGAGATGAAGGCGGTTCGCGTCGCCACAGTGTGGGACATATCAACCAGAGTCTGATGGTCTGATTGCTTCGGCAAGCGACGGCAAGCGAATTCTTGTCTGCCTTTTAAAAAGACCAGCAGCCTGCCAAGGAACACATTTTCTAAGACCTTTCCATGTTGAAAACATATTATATAAATAATATTGAGATATACTGAGCATATTGCAAAGGTGTGGCAAGTCATGTTAGCTTCAGGTAAGAGCTCAGAAAGCCCAGGTTGCACGACAAAAAACACCTGCTGAGTCATCCACAAGTCGCATGATTTCAGTTGAACAAGCAGCTTCTGGTATAGTTGGATGGGTTAATAAACCAACAAACATAAAATCTGGGGTCACCTGGAATTATGGTGTATCAACCCCATTGCCTATAATATCCTACAATTATATGTAGTTGGTTTATAAACCAATCTATACCTAAATAACATTGGATGACTATAGATATATCCACGAGATATCGACGATAAACTCAATGTCTTTACTTTTCACCACTTGCCGCATTGCATCTTTGGCTGCGGACAACTCTCAAACACCTTCGATTCGGCCCATCCCATGTTTTGGACGTGCCGTTTTGGACGTGCCGGGAGCAGATGTACAAAGCTGGTCCTTTTTGGCCAACGACATCACGAAATTTGCCGAAAAAAAGTTGCGACGATGGCCAAGAGCAATCGGCTGCTCTGGCCATGACTGCCATGCCCCGTTTCATCTGCTATCCAGCCTGGGTACACCTGGCCATGGAGAGAATGGAGGAGTCAACATGCTTCTTCTGTGCTTATTCTGCGCTTACTGTAATTGCCTCATTCTGCTGGAAGCCAAGCAAGTTGAAGTTGATCTCCTGCAAAGGCGCGTCAACCTGTGTCCAAGCTAGTTCTTTGTAGATACCAAGATGCACACCTTTGGTATCCTTTGATCAGTGTTGTCTAGGTCGATTGCATCGGAATCTTCACCTCCTTCTCTATTGGACCTGCCCTTCATGGCTACACCTTGCCCATCCTTGCCCCTATTCTGCCCAAACGTGCGCAAAGGGGAGAAAGGAACCATGAGCGCTGTGGACCCTTGCTCATCCTGACCGTCGTTGCTGCTGTCAGCACTTGAACAGATTGATCTGCAAAGCTGCAAGTTCCAAACGTTGTGTACCTCACCATTGAAGGGAACAGGAACAGACTGGAGAACACAAATGGACAGTCTCTGAAATTCTGCGGTTCACTTCAGTATGATTTTGCCTTTCTTCCAGTCCCACTTTGGCATTCTCGCCAATCTATGCCAATCTAAGGACCCCGCAGGCCAATTCAGTGCATTTGGCAAACGGACCAAAACCTCATGCGGAGATGCGGAAGATCTGGTCAAAACCCAACATTGCCCAGCATCGCAAGGACATTTCGGCCGTGGAAACCTACGAAACCTTCGCCTGAAACATTGCCCAAACATCTATAGTTCGACTAGGCAGTAATAGTGGTGTTGGAGATGGTGCTTGTACGTCTGGTCTGGGTTGAGGTGGTTTCTGTTGCAGTAGAAGATGTGGTTCCAGTGAAGGTAAGCGTCTGGGTGTCGTTGCTTTCGTTGATCTGTAGCAGCCGCGGCAGTGCATCTCTGGCTCTGTCATTGATATTCATATCGGCCATGCAAAGGACCAGTCCGCTGAAGTGAAGCCAAAAGTGAAGCCGTAGGCCATTCATCCTTGCAAGGCTGGGTATAAGGCTGGAGCCACAACCTCAAATTGTGAAACGCAAAACTGGTATGTTTGTCATTTATAATCAATATAATATATATATATACGTATATATATATATATATATAATACGTAAATATATAATATAATCACATATATATAATGATATATAATGTATCATAATATATAAACATGGAAACTCAATGAAGAGATATTAAGATATTCCTGATTATTCCTGCAAGGTCGCGAAGGAAACTTGCGGTGTTGCTTTGGAATCAAGTGACCATCCTTTGTCAACACATCGATCTCTATTGATCTCTCGAGTGCACAAGGACATTGCAAGGCCCCCTTCACTTGGTTGCTCTGCTGAAAAATCATTGTCTTTATGGTACCCTAAAAGATGTTGTGAACTGGGATCAATGCAGCGCTTTCAAACACTATTAACAATCTTCAAGTGCTCTCAAGTGCTTAAGTGTTAACCACTGTTTTTTTCCTAAGGTGGAACTTCTTGAGCCGCAATGCATGAAGGCTTGCATCCACACAGCATGAATGCACACAACCCTTCTCCATCATCACACCACAGTCACAGGTCACTTAACATCTATCAGATCAACTGATCAACTATTTTTCAGACATCCATGATATCGAGTTCATCGCGTTTTCACACGTTTTCCAACACTTTCCAACTGAACTCTGGAACATGCAATCGAGATCAATGTCAGCATGGAAGCCTCAGCCTCTTCGCCACTTTTCGCCATTGCGGTGCAGGGCGGGCGCTGAATGTGAGCAACTTACCAATCCATTGAGTTGGCAGCTCAGTTCGCGAAGCAAAATATGGGTCTAGAATCATCATACAGGATCATACAGGCACAAATGCACTGAAATCTGGATGACGAAATTTTCAGATGAAGCTCTCTTTTCTGAGACTCAAACTATGTACATATTGAAACAACTAAGATGATCAACCTCCTTAATCATCCTTAACCTGATTGTGCGACTCCCATCTCCGCACTTTCGGTCTCACAGGGTGCGGGCCGCCTCGTGCATCGTTTCACCAGGAGCACGGATGCCACAGCAAGGACTGCAACGGCAGCAACGAGTCCCACCATCAGCAGACTGGCATTGAGGGGTTTGTGCTGGACTTGACTCTTGTAGGGGTTCAAAATCCAAACATCATCATCCACTTTTCGTGCTGAGAGTGGCTGATACCACTGTGCATCCAAAGGCACAAAGCTTGAGTGTGCAAGTTCTGCAGCCCGACGAACAGCTGTGACTCTATCCACCCGGGGCAGCTGCTGTTTATCGTTGCGATACCACTCCCAGCGCATGTGGCTCTGGTTGGCAATCACCAGTCGCCCATGCCCAAAGGAAAGGCCATCCCTAAATGCCGACCAGCCCGGCTCATCTAGGTACGTGCTGGCATGACCTTCGCGATTACCACCGTCACCCACCACGAGGTAGGTGGGTGCTCCTGGCTGGGATGTATTTTTGTAGACAGGGTGAGAGCGCTCATAGGCATGCACATGCCCAGAGATCACCACCGCAACTTTGTGCTGATGAAAGAGGTCTTCGAAACCGTGTGCATCCCTCATGAGGGTTGCCTGTTGTTCATCTTGGTGCGCTTTGTTGGAGTTGTAGAAGGGACAGTGCATCATGACCACGAGCCATGGAGTATCTGTTCTCCTCGCCTCCAGTGCTTCAAGCTCCTGCTTCAACCACTTGTACTGTGCCGATGACGGATGCGTCTGCGCATAACCTAAATGCCGCAGCTTTACTGCAAGTTGAAGCGGAAAAACGGATGAAACAAGTACATCAAGTACCTTTTTCTGAGGTGTCCTACATTCTCCTACATTCAAGATCAATGGAACAATCTTTACTGCGACCTGGCACCAGTGGTGCTGAAAAATTCAGGAGCAAATGTGCTTGACGAGAGGCTATTGAGCGAAATGACTCGTGCCGGTCCAGCATCGAAGGCATAGAAAGAGTTCCCCCAGTCGTACTGACCAGTGAAAGCTGAAGGCGTACAATCATTCCCCGTGTGCGGTACCGTGGGATAAGGATGTTTGCATCCAATCTGCTCATTAGAAGGAGAAAACTCTGCTTGCTGAACCGCTGGCATAACAAACCTGGCTTCATAGGGTTGGAAATTCTGTCCAGTGTAGTAGTCGCTCTCAATCTCATGATTGCCAGGGCAAACCATCCACTGCAACCGTGAAGCCAACGGTTCCACCTTCAATCCGTAGCTGTCCCATCGAGCAGCATTGGTATCGGCATAAGACATGTCACCAGCATGCAAGATGATGCGAATGTCTTTGTCTGCATCCAGATGTCGGACCGTTTCGATTGAATGCTCGGTTTGACCAAGATCACCGATGAACCCAAAGACAAAGGGATAGCGAGGATCCTGACTGTCCCCTGTCGGACCTGCTGGCCCCTGCGAGGCGGGCAAGGTCTTGAAACTCCTGGTGCTATTTGGGGGATCTCCATACAAAGTGTAGTTGTACTGGCTGTTCGCAACCAATCCCTTGATGAAGACACGATGGATTCGTCCCGAAGTGTAGTTGCCATATAGCTCAGGTGCCGCTCCAAAGGAATATCTCAGGCATTTCCCCACCATTTGCACCTCCGATGCTTGGGAGATGCCCTGGATGGTCGCAACTGCCACTTGAGTCACTTGAGCACAAGATGCGTTGTCGTCTCGAGGATCATCTGTAATCCATGTAATGCTCACCTGGGCCAAACACAGCCTTGAAACTTGCATAGAGAATTAGCAAATCTTGTGATTCTGCAAAAGTCAAGAAAAGTCAAGAAAAAGCGTGGCAAAGAAAAACATGGCACCATTTTGGATAGTAAAATCTTTGCACATCTGTGGATCATAGCAGCTGGCACCAGAAAAAATATCAGTAAATATCTTGATCAACCACGTGTTTGTCTTCTCCGCTTTCCATAGTTTTCCTGGTATTTCGTCAGTAATAAGTTGACACTTAAAAAAATGGGTATCGAAACTTTTGCAAAGGTTAGATGCCCTTGAAAAACATACTCATCGGCTGGGGAGTGTAGATGGAGTATAGTTTTACATGATTTTACATGTATGGTCCTGGTTAAAAAAAAGCAGAAAATACATCCTCCTTATGTTCCCTACTCGCGGGAATTGAAATCAACATGGCCATTCACCCCAAGCATTGGAATCCTCGGGAAATATCTTACTTTTCAAACCAGGGTGTGTTTTTTTGCCGCTTCACAGTTTCACCATGTTTCATCAAAAAAACCCATCAAAAACCGCTTCCGTGCCCCGTTGTCCGCGCCGTTGCGTGCCCTGTCACATCGCTATCTCCTCGATCACCTGCCGCAAGCGCCACCTGTTGAGGAGGCCAGCTGCCTTCAGCAGCAACCCCAGCCCAAAGCGCAGCGAAAAAAACCTCAGAGCTGGGGCTTGGTGACCCAGGGGGGTTACTGCAAGGTGGCATGGATATCCCTCACTTGTATGGGCAAGAAACTAATTAAACATTCCTGTGACTTTAGATTCAAGTTGTTTTAGCTGTATATGTAAAATTAACATCATAATAATATAATACATCATATTATGTATAATATGTACAATAATATCAATAGTATAATGTATGTTTGTCGACACAACCAAACATGATTTTCATCGAAAATCCACGAACACAACCAACAAACTGTTCAGCTACTTTACACGAGGTCCGTTCAGAATGACTTGCCGCAACGATGCCGAGGGACTCTCATTTTGAGCCGCAACCCTTCGCCGCGTCCCCAGCTCTGAGCCCATCGAGCCATACAAAAACATGCGGGGTATAGCTGCCGTAGATTTGAAGTTTGATTGAAATATATACTGCCGGGAAATAAATGTGGCATTTCCATAAAGGTCCGCTCTTTTCCAAATTGAAATATCGCGAGTCGTTAGCAAACTACTGCGAGCCAGGTGCTCTAAGTCGAGGCTGGAATTCCAGACCTACGATATGTACAGTGGTGCTGGTCGCACCGGCTACAAGAGAAGTGGGAGGCTACTGCCAGCAACATGAGTCAGGAAGCCAGACATGCAGCAGGTCAACCTCAATGACCAGTGGCACCAGGAATTCAATCATCCAACTGATTATATATATATAGCCACCACTTTGTGATGCTGGTATGACAATCTAGCCAACCACCCGTCAGGGTCTTAGCCACTGTTCCTTTGAAAAAACAACACCTAAAAGCAATGCCCCGTGACATCTCTGAGAATCTCTGAGTAGCAAGCTGGCAGTGTTCAGCTGCCCATGAACTGGAACACCAGGTGGACTGGGCTTGGTGGTCACGACAGTGATCATCGTGAAGACAATGTAGACCTGAGATTGAGATCACTGGGATCCAACATAGTGTCAAGAGCTATGGTGCTAGAAGGGCTCGTTTGAACGAGTCTGTTCCACGTTAGTGTTTATGTTTGGCTTGAGCCTTGTTGCTGGGACCGCACCTGATCTCCAATTCATTCCAATTGTTGGCACGTCTTGAGGCATCCGCAGGCAACTGTACCAGTGTCGCCACTGGGCCTCAACTGTTGGTTCCCATGTCCCAGTCAATTCCATTCGCTGCAAAGAAAAAACAATTGGGATGTCATCTGCACAGTTGGACAAAGAAGTAAGATGACGTAAGCTTCTCGCCATGAGGGTCTGTAGCTGTCCTTGTACCAGCCTGAGTTTTTTGCCAGCTGCCAGTCGAAAAGGGCCAAAACTCCATCCACAATTCATCCACATATGGCTATGGATCAATACCTATACATACCATTTTTAGGGGATGAATCGGGATGAACATCCATAAATCCCAGCTATTTTGATGTGAACTACGGGGGTACAAGGTTTTGACCCATCCCCATATATCCACATCGCCTGGTATGCTACAACCCCGTGGCCAAAAATGCCTGGCTTCATCCGAGCCACGCTGGCAGTGTGACTCTGCGCAGGTTTCAAGACTAAGGAGGCCAGCTCGACAGCACCTGCAGATCCATTGAGAGGTGCTTCAAACATCAATGGATATGATGATCGGTTGATGGTTGGTTACGAATGGTTGTAAAATGGTTACAAATGGATATAAGATATGGTCAGATGGATATGAACTGGTTTGCATCATCCAACCATCATTGCATGGATATGAATTGTCATATGATGGTTGGTTGATGCAAATCCAGATCTGTCTGGTTGATCGTTGGGTATAATTAGCTGATTAGCCACTGATCATTCACAGGGGTGGTACAGATGTACTCCCGAAGCAATGGTTGATGGGGTTAGTTGGCTGTGATGATCTTTTATGCATGGGGGTCTAAGAGTCTAGCAATAGGCTTTTTCTTTAAGCATCAAACATAACTGTCATAACTCAATGGAGGTTTAGTTCGCTGGGAAAATCCTCGACGTATTGCTAAGTGATTTTCCAGCAAGCCATGTTTCACTACCAGATGGTATATCCCATCAATATCCCATTCATATCCCATCAAACCATATTAAACCTCCATCTATCTGTATCCCATTCATATTCCCACTAATATCCCCACTAAGGAAAAACGTTGAGCCCCTGCAAAACCCTCAAGCTGACACCGCACTGGGGCAGATGCGTCCAGCCGCAACTGACTTTGGCCCAGCCGTTGTTGCACCACTCCTGCAGCGGGAGAGTTTTCAACACCGGGAGAATGGAAACCAAGCCGGGAAAAAATTCAAAACCCCAACGTTTAAAGTATACAAAAACATATATATATATATTCATATATACATATTATATAATATAATGTAATACTATACACATATGCATATACTATCATATACTATACAGTATACTATACACTAGATATTTACATCTGTTAAAATGTGTACTATGTAAATTATGCAAAGAACTCTAAGAGTCGTGTCTTTGGATTTGGAGTTCCCGGGCTCCTCCACCGAGAGATTCCCACGGCATGGTCGATTTCGCAAGCAGGGCGCGCAAGCTGCAGCACCCTTCCGACCATTGCTCCAGCCTGGGTGAAATCGCTGAGGCCTTTGCGAAATCCAAATATCAACACCTCCAGAGTTTGTAGGTTGAGGTTAGATCGATAAAAACAATAGACAAGCTAAAATATGTCAGAGTTCTTGATTGCTGGTTATATTATATTACATATAACTTATATATACTTAATTATACTTATATGGAGGTTTCCTGAAATGGTGGTACCCCAAAATCAGGCACCCCCATTTCAGGAAGACTCCATATAATAATATCTTATCTGATTGGTGGTTTTAACATGTTTTAACCATCTTGAAACATATTAGTATATATTAGTCAATGGGAAGGATTATCCCATTTTTATTATGGAAAAAATCTTTGAAACCACTAACCATTAGTCAACCATTGGTATAAATTATAACCAACCTACCAGGTATAAATGGATCCCAACCAGGTATAAATTTCTCCATCCCATAAGATCCCATAAATTTGTGACTCATGGCAGCCCATGGCAGCGGAATCATGGCCTGCGTCCCAGGTATCGGCGCAGTGTTGATTACATTTCGGGGCCATGGAGTGCATGCCTGCCATCACCAAGCGACCAAAAAAAAGGGGATGTTTCCTTGGGAAATCATGGTACATCATGGGATATGATATACTGCAATGGAATACAGCTTGAGTATTGTAAAAGAATGCACTGTATAAGAATTTGAGGGGCTTGGATCCAATGCGGGCTATATATTTTCAGCTATACCAAGCACATAGTACTTTAAGAATTTGAGGGACCCTAGGATAGGATTGCTAAATTCTTAAATTACTGTTTATACGTGAGGCTTTGTGGGTTTTGTGGGATGGGAACTGGAAGGTTGTAATTCTCCTTTGCGGTTCCTTTTTGTGGAATGGCACCTTAACTTATGGCCTTATGGGATGAAATCGGGCTTTGCAGAAAAACAATTTTTCGGGCTCCGATAAATTGATTTTTCGCACATGTTTGGACTGCTGTGAAAATCCACTCAAGATCAATGTGGATATATTTGGGAACCTGAAACATTGTTTTACCCCAATAGCTTGATAAAAACTGAGCGGCACCTCCCTTGTGAAACTCAGAAACAATTTTTCAAGGCTCTGAAAAGTTTTTTCCGCATTACCCCTGACTGATGAAATGGAATGAACCCTTCTTGTGGGCAATGCAAAAAAAAACAATTTTTCGCAACCTGAAAAAATGTTTTTTCCGGCACTGCCCTTTTGAAACTCATTGACAAGCCCGGCTTTGCAAAAAAAACAATTTTTCAGGCTCTGAAAACATGTTTTTTTTTTTTTTCGCACCACCCTTGTTAAATCTGCCAACTCCATCTCGTTGTCTATAGTTTAAGCTCGCTCCAAATTGCGCAGAGGCATACAATACACAACTAAGAATGCTCTAAGAATTTGAGGGACCCTCGACCTATTGTGGTGGAAATTTGCCTGCATTTATATAAAAATAAAAATTTGAGGGACCCTGGGCCTCAAGCTTTCGGATTCTTAACCAACTCTTGGGCTTTATTAGGAGACATCAACGCGGAGATGATAGGGAAAAAGTGAGGATATAATAAAGGTATATAAAATTATAAAGGTAATAAAGGATGATGGGACATATGATAGGTGGGTTTGTGAAACAAAGGGGAGACTCCAAATCTTGGCCGTTTCAAAGGGGAATGATTCTCCAACCCATTGGATTTCCAGGTGCCCCTACTCTTGGAAGCGAGATCTTCGCCCAAGAATCAGAGACACGCTGAGAGTGGCAAGCGAGAGAAACCGGAGTAATGCCATGTAATGCCCGTCGAATCTTAACACCCCCCAATATCCCCCAATGAATCTTGACATCTCCCGATCACAGGTTAACTGGATCTGATCCAATCATTTTGCGGACCCCAAAACCATCCAAACATCCTCAAGCTCCGGGCCTGGCCCTGTTGATGGTGCCTCCAAATTCAGGAGTGCGAAGCAGGCTGGTGTTTTCGTATCCGTCTACCATTTTCTACCATTCCTGTAATCGATTGATGTTGATTATCGTGTTCATCATCATTCCAGGTAGGTGGAACACTGCAGGAGATACATTTTTTTAAAGCTCACTGTGTCCCACCGGCCTTCAGCCATGAGGAAAAATCATGTCTCACCGTGTCTCACCCGGCCTGGATTGTCTTCAGGGCTGTTAGGAGTTCCCCATCCGCTGCCGGGGTCTTCCAGTCAGCCGCTAGCACACCATAATCTGCCGGCCGGATGCCATGCGAAGTTCCAGAAGCTTCAGCCATTGGGCGACTAGATGACTGAATGGACTAAAACATACTAAAACATACTAAAACTAAAACTAGAACTGAATCTAACTTGCACTTAGCTTATAGTATCTTACAGTAGTACCCATCTCTTGATGGTTTTCTACTGTTCCTACAGCGCTCTGCGCACCCGGAAGAAGCGAGCCAGCTGCACTCGTTGGGCCATGGAAGGGATGAACATCATCACGGCTCCAGGTGCCGTCAGCATGCCAAACGGCCCAATCAAAGTCTCCCTTTTCGACGAAGGTGCCGAAGTCGAAAACCAGGGTTTTTTTGTTACCCTCTGGTAAATTAACATAGACCCTGAAAATCACCAATTGTTAGAGGAAACTAATCTTCCAACCCCTATCTACCAGGGTCTATGTTAATTTACTGGAGGGTATCATGAAGAATAGTGGTTCAACATGTTCAACCATCAAACTACGGGGTTCAAGCATCAAACATATGGTGATATCAACAACACTTATAACTTATAACATCTTATAACCAATCATTGGATTGCCTGAAAGGATATTTTACAGGAAACCAATCATTTCCCACAATTTTGGGGCTGTTCTGTAAATTTACACTTCATTCAATTTTGGGAACCAGTACAGTGGCCATCAGTGGCCTACAGTAAGTACGTACTTGAATCATGGTGAAGTTTTGGGACATGGTGACATGACATTCCAAAAACTGGGGGATGACGGTATGTGGGAAAGTCAACCAGCATTCAAATGCATTCTCCAAGCAACCCCGCCTGCAAGAGGTATTGCAGAAAGTCAGGCCACCAGTTGGCGCACGAGTCCTCCAGCGCTGCAATTCACAGATATTCACAGTTCACAGGTTCCCTGGTGTGGCACTGACCCAAACTGGAGCAATGGTCGTCCTTGTGGCAATCACTAAAGGTGCCAAACTCACTGACCCACACTGGAGCCGTATACGGCCTCGTAAATTGCAGCATACTGCAGCACGCGGCATCAGGGGCCAAACATGGCCAAACTCACTGCTCCACGAGCCCCGCACTGGTTCTCTTCCACGATGAAGCCCCAGTCTTTGCCCAGTTGGTCATGCAGAGCCTGACTTCATCCAACCGGAAACTGCTGATTTCTCGCCAGATGTCGCCAGGCCTTGTAGGTATCTGGTAGCCCAGGATATGACCAGGAGTAGCTGTGGGCACTGTACACCTCAGCTGTGTCTCAAAAAACAACTGCTGTGCCGATCTTCGCCAAGTCTTGGCTGTTCACGAGTTTGTCAGCGTGCTTCAGGCGGACAGGCAGCCTCGCGTATCAAGACCAACATGTCAAATTTGTACAGAAAGTTGTGCCAATGTGAGCAAGATGCACCTGAAAACACCCGTCAAATCCTTGCCGTAGCTGAGTCCACCCTGAGCAAAGGCTACTCGAAACATTCATGGTCATTTTTTGTGCACAAAATACATCAAAATACGCGATTGCCATCGATTGTGCCGCCATCTGGGGACACTGAGGCTTCAGCTACTATGATCAACAAATTTGGATTCACCGTCAAGATCGCATCACCAGCCTGCTGGATCAACAGCTATCAGCATTCAGACTTTAAGGGCCCCGAGCGTTCAGAGGGCACCTGGGTTGCTGTCGCGTGCCAATCCTGGGAAGGAACATCAGGATTGTGGCATTGTGGCCTATTTGTGCTAGTAATTCGTATGCACAACATAATCTGGGATCATATCCCATCCAACATCAGCATTGTAGTAACACGTAGTAACACGTAGTAAGCAAATTTTAACAATCTGCCTGCCATTGGAAACTCCCACATTGGGACATCTTGTGACATGTCAAAAAGTAAGCCACAAAAGGATGCTGAACAGGTGGACACCTGGTTTTGAAATGTGGAACGATCATCAATACATATATATATATACATATAATCATATATACGTAGTTCTGGAAGCACAATAGTTGCTCATCATCATCATCATCATCATTGTGGAACATATGTGGAAATATCTTTTTAGGTTACATAATGATTCTGATTATACACACGAACAGTTCCAAATGTTCCAATTGAGAGCCAGACATTGGGCCCGCCACCACCCCATCGCGGAGTTCCCTTGGCTGAAGCCCGGACCTGAGTTCCCATTAGAGCCATGGGCTTTTTACCCATGGTCACTGAAAGAATGGTAAGGTGATGATAAATCAATAGATTTAAGAACTGATTTATGCATAATATATAATTATATATAATATTACACAATATTACATATGTAAATAAATAAATAAATATATATATATATACACATTCGCAATATTTATATCTTCGATATGCACATAAATATTCCAGTGATCTCCGAAGTTATGTTTTTTTGTTGCTGCATGAGGCCTTTTTTATTGTGCCTAAATTGAGGTTTAAGTCCTCCCCAAAATTTTCGTACGTTTCTTCAAAATTTGCTGGAGGGAAGGTGGGACCCGGATCATTTTGAAACACCGGATAAGGCTCATTTTGAAACACAGAGGATAAGGATCATTTCGAAACACAAAAGCCCCGGATAAGGATCATTTTGAAACACATCCAAGATACTGCTGTTTAAGACATCTGGAAGGCATAGCATTTCTTTGTAACCACCATAGCGCTTGTAACACCACGGCACATTGATGAAACCCTAGCAAATCAGCTCTTCAAACAAAAGCAATCAAAAAAACAAGTTAGCTCTTACAAGGAGATTCATCCCTATCATAAATGCAATGTGACCGCAAAAGGCTTGAGTCTTTTCCCGTCAGCCATCTATTTGTGGCAGCTTTGTCCGGCAATTCATGAGGATCTCGTTCGAGACACGTATCAAAAAAAGAATAAAAATGCATCAAAAAAAATATCCAGCACGCATCAAAAAAATATATATATGCATCAAAAAAAATATCCAGGTGCCACTGTGTGAGACCTCACGGGTTTCGTGCTGCAAACCTAGATCAAAAAAAATATCCGTATCAAAAAAAATATCATAGTAGTAGTAGGAGGAGTAGTAGTAGTAGTAGCAGTAGTAGTAGTAGTAGTAATAGTAGTAGTAGTAGTACTACTACTACTACTAGTAGTAGTAGTAGCAGTAGTAGCAGCACTAGCAGCAGTAGCAGCAGCAGCAGCAGTAGTAGTAGTCGTAGTAGTAGTCGTAGTCGTAGTCGTAGTGGTAGTAGTAGTAGTCGTCGTCGTCGTCGTCGTAGTCGTAGTCGTAGTCGTAGTCGTAGTAGTAGTAGTAGTAGTAGGAGGAGGAGGAGGAGGAGTAGTAGTAGTAGGAGTAGTAGTAGTAGTAGTAGTAGTAGGAGAGTAGTAGTAGTAGTAGTAGTAGTAGGTAGTAGTTAGTAGTTAGTAGTTAGTAGTTAGTAGTTAGTAGTTAGTAGTTAGTAGTTAGTAGTTAGTAGTTAGTAGTAGTAGTAGCGTAGTTAGTAGTTAGTAGTTAGTAGTTAGTAGTTAGTAGTTAGTAGTTAGTAGTTAGTAGTTAGTAGTTAGTAGTTAGTAGTTAGTAGTAGTAGGTAGTAGTAGTAGGTAGTAGGTAGTAGGTAGTAGGTAGTAGGTAGGTAGTAGGTAGTAGGTAGTAGGTAGTAGGTAGTAGTAGTACTAGTAGCAGTAGTAGTAGTAGACAGTAGTAGCAGCAGGAGAAAAAGAAAGGAATAGTAGGTAGCAAAGGGAACCGGTTTAAAAATAAAAGCGGGTGGGGGGGTGCAGGGGGGAGGGCGCAGCGCCTCCCCCCGCAATGCGTACCAAGAGAGAAGCACATAGGCACAAGTCTCAATGGATATATTGCAAGTAAGAACGACAAGATCAAGAAAGAAGCACATAGGCACAAGTCTCGATGGATATCAGCAAAGATGAAATTAACCCAAATAAACGATGATGCTTATGCAAAAAGAAAGGAATAGTAGGTAGCAAGGGGAACCGGTTAAAAAATAAAAGCGGGTGGGGGGGTGCAGGGGGGAGGGCGCAGCGCCTCCCCCCGCAATGCGTACCAAGAGAGAAGCACATAGGCACAAGTCTCAATGGATATATTGCAAGTAAGAACGACAAGATCAAAAAAGAAGCACGTAGGCACAAGTCTCGATGGATATCAGCAAAGATGAAATTAACCCAAATAAACGATGATGCTTATGCAAAAAGAAAGGAATAGTAGGTAGCAAGGGGAACCGTTTTAAAAATAAAAGCGGGTGGGGGGGTGCAGGGGGGAGGGCGCAGCGCCTCCCCCCGCAATGCGTACCAAGAGAGAAGCACATAGGCACAAGTCTCAATGGATATATTGCAAGCAAGAACGACAAGATCAAGAAAGAAGCACATAGGCACAAGTCTCGATGGATATCAGCAAAGATGAAATTAACCCAAATAAACGATGATGCTTATGCAAAAAGAAAGGAATAGTAGGTAGCAAAGGGAACCGGTTTAAAAATAAAAGCGGGTGGGGGGGTGCAGGGGGGAGGGCTGAAGAGGGGCCCTAGCGTCTACTTCAAGATCAGCTAAGGCGTCTTCCCCAATGACAGCACTTGTTTTACTCAGCCTGTTGCCGGTCCGTGCTTGTCTACAGGGTTACTCTATATACCTCTTGAGCCTTGAAGGGCGCATATAAATGTGCTCAATACTCATGCATGTACCTATGTAGGTATTAGGTCGAAACAAAAACACAGGCACAAATTCAAAAGCAATGAGTAGAGCACTACGCCTTGCCGTACCCAATTGGTATTAAGAGTATCTTCCTGACTTCTGTACACAATGGCAAATAGCAAAAGAAACCGGAGTTACGCAGTGGCTTCGAATTGAAACACGTGAAAGCAGCGAATGTCCTAAGGACATGTCGAAAAAGAACAGCGGATTCGCTAATTTTTCCAGTAGTGACCAATGGTGCTTCGCGCACGGTCTCTCCATAGGCAAAATGCCTCGCTCTACCGGTGAAGGTTCGAATTGAAAAGTTCGGGTTCGCAAGATTCAGAAATTCAGGTCATACGAAAAACAATTGACCAAATCACGAAATAAACGGAAATAGCGGATCTCCAAAGTTGCTCATTCAAGCAAACAATGGACTGAAATCGAAGTTGGTAATTTTTGGAGTTCGCTCCATTCGGAGTGGTCTGCTCGCCGGATGGTTCATGGAGATAAATGTGTATAGTATCTCTATTTACAAGAGTCTCTATTTTACATTAAATTGAAGTTCAGACACTTGTGGCATTATCTCTATCTAAAAGAGTATATGCCATCTGTGTGAAATAAGTTGATGCACAGAAAACTGTACACTGCCTCTCATGCTGTGTTATCTTCATTTAAAGAAGTGTACACTCACTTATAGCCAAAAGCTTGTTCTCCATGGTCTGGACGAAGAAGATGAGGATCCACCCCAACTAGCGTTGCCCTGATACGTTGATGCTTGATCTTCATATGCCTTTCTCTTTTTCTCCTTCTGTCTTTCCTTCCTTGTATCTGAATACTGCTTCTTCTTGAAAGAATGTTTGTAATGATGTCGTTCATTCCACGACATATCAGAAGGATCAAGATGGATAAGAATTGGATTATGAGCATCACGATCATTTGGGGCAACCATGAAGATGTTGTGATCACCATGTAAGCAAGTTTCATTTACCTTGAAGTAAAATTCACCCACATAGTTCATGTGATCTTCGTCTTCGTAGTCTTCAAGGTGTTCCTGACACATCAAACGTGAATGACCCCACTCAACAACTGTTAACATACAACAATCACCTTTCCCATTTGTCTTGTTCATGAGCTCGTCGGTGTATGTTGCTGTTGTAATGCCATCCAAGTGTGTTGCAAGAAAATCCAAGTCACGATAACTGCAAGAAATGAAATGCTTGACCCTGATTGGAGGGCAAGATGAATCAAAATACTTGCGCATGGCTTGTGTTGCAACACCTACCATTCTGTTAATCCAGAATTGGATTAGGCTGTGTTGATATGTAGGGACGCCTGGAGATTTTGGTGTGCTGTAATAGCATGCCTTGTTTCCATCACCTGCGATGAAGTCAACTTGATATCTGGCACACTCAAAAGCCATAACAGCTAAGCATTCACCAACAATCCCAGCGGAGTCTGATGCATACTTCTGTCCGACGTGATAAACGCACACACGTGTCATCCTCATCCTAGCTCTTGTCAAGTCAACAATCTCATTTGTATCTCGGTCCTTTGTCTTTCCCCAAGATACTTCAAAGATTGCCCATGAGACTTGTCGAACTCGTGTGTCGTTGTCATCTGTTTGATATCCAGCAATTTGCTTGATATAGCCATCCTTTCCAAGGCGAGCTGCCACCATCAAGTCATGATAGTCATTGAAGCAAGTTTTAAAGTCAACCTCGTCGAGTCTTTCTCTGTGAGGATACAATGAACCAGCTTCACAATTCATGAAGAGATGTCCTCCAAAGTTCTTGATGACATTGATGAAGTAATTGTTGAACTGTGATTTGGTTTCATCAAATTTTTCATGATCCTCATCGATAGTGTAGTCAATGTGTGGAATGAATTGTTGAAATCTTTCTGGAACCGGGCATTTTTCAAATCTGTTTCTGCACCAGTTTCCCAAATTCCAAAACATTGCTGTTATCTGTGGAGAGGATCTGTATGGAAATTCGGCATCCTTGTAAGTTGGGTCTGATAGGCCTCCACCTAAATATCTGTAAGCCAAGCTATGCAATATCATACAGTAAGGTAAGACCTTGTGGTCCTCAACG